TTATTGTACCCACTTAAACAAGTTTTGTACCAACTTAATCAAGTTTTTATACCCACTTAAACAAGTTTTGTACCCACTTAAACAAGTTTTTTACCAACTTATGCACGTTTTCTACCTACTTATGCACGCTTTGTACCTCTTTGCTCTGGAATATTGTACTTACTTCTTACGCACGTTTTCTACCTACTTATGCACGTTTTGTACCTCATTGATCTAGAAAAAAAATATTGTACTTACTACTTACTAATATTTTGTACTCAATTATGCACGTTTTGTACCTCGTTGTTTTGGAAAAAATTTGTACCCAGTTATTAAAGTTTTGTACCTACTTATGCACATTTTGTACCTATTTAAGCATATTTTGTACCTCGTAGTTCTTAAAAAAATTTATTGTACCCACTTATTAAAATATTGTACCAACTTATGCACATTTTGTATGATTTGGCTCTGTTAAAAAATTTCTACCAACTTAATCAAATTTTTTACCCACTTATGCACATTTTGTATCTCATAGATATGGAAAAAAATTTGTACCTCATAGACTTAGAAAAAAATTAAATTCAAATTATCATCCATACATGATTAATCCATACAACCACATTATCATCTATACAACCAAATCATCCATATGTACATAAACTTTAATTTAAATTATCAGCCATACATGATTAATCCATACAACCAATCACCCATACGTACATAAACTTTATTTCAAATTTTTAACATTCTTCAGAAACACATGCTTTGTTTTGGCCCACCGTTAACTTTGTTTTGGCCAACCGTTAACTTTGTTTTGGCCCTCCGTTAACTTTCTCGACCACCACCTGCAACATTTTTCATCTACAAAAAAAATTTATAACTTTAACATGACAAATGCATCGACATGGAAAAAAATATTAAATCAAGATTAAATATAATACCTTAGCTAAAGGACAACTTGTTATATAATGTCCTTTTCCCTTACAAAATCCACAAAATCTTTGTTTTTTTATACCCTTTTCTTGTGCTATCTCCATTCCGGACATAATTCTAGTAGTTTGTGCTGGTCGTCCCTTCGTGGCAATAGGCTTATCTGGATCACGAATAGTGATTTGAGTTGCTTCCTCTACAGAGATGGGTATGGATGAAGTAGACATCTTATTGCTGGCATTGCTCTCATTTCCATTGTTGTTAAGTTCCTTTTCTTTCTTGTAAGCACCAACTTCTTCAAAAAATGAGTCTAAAAAAGCACTGAACTTATCATAAAGTGTACTTGACGTCAATGTATCTTCTAGTGCCTTGTTACATCTACTCCTAAGGGCCCAATGTTTAATGATAGAGAGTTACTTTTCACTATTTGAAAGGCAATTTCTAACAACTCTGCAACCAACATGTCTTGCTTTACTTGTCCATCGTTGCATAATATATCTTGATGGAATTTTTAATACTTGCTTCTTTACTAAAATGTGCAAGCTATGTTTGCATAATATACCTTCCATCTCAAATTTCGCATAAGAGCACTTAATTCTTTTATCTTTGGATGCATCGAAAACAACATGATGCTTTAACCTCTTCTTGCTCTCATCCTCGCTATCTATATTCCAAACGGCATAAGTAGCACTTACGCCATCCTTCGACAACCTTTCATGAAGCATGGAGTAACTGTCCTTGAGTTCTTTCCGAAAGATAGTAAACATATTCTTTGTATAATTCTCCCTAGCTTGATTTTCAATAGGATGTTCCATCATCAATGTAGGAACATAGTTTGTGGACTTAAAATCTTGCTCAAGTTCAACGGCTCGACGAGCTCCGACAGAATTATCATATTGCTTAACAAAATCATGTAACTCGGTATTTGCATTCACAAAATGATCAAAAAAAGCATTAATTCCCTCACTCCGCTGAGTAGATGTCATTCCTGCAGTAAAAGTATCTTTAAGATAAACTGGAGCCCAATGGTCTCGATGATTGTATAAATTTACTAACCAATTCCTTTTATCTGCACCATATTTGTTCCTCATTTCTTCCCAACGCTTCACAATTTTTTCTTCTGATTTACTCCAATATCATTTGTTATACATTATACCCACATCCTCACCATATTCATTATGCATTGATTGAAGATTTTGTAAGGCATTCCTATGAAGGTGCCACGAACAAAAACGATGATGAGTTTGAGGAAAAACTTTATGAATTGCACCACACATTGCTTTATCTTGATCAGTGATGATTGTTAATGGTGCTACACCCGACATACATTTTAACCATTGGCTAAATAACCATATAAATGTCTCTTCCGTTTCATCGGCCAGTAACGCACACCCAAATAGAGTAGATTGTCGATGATGGTTAACGCCCGTAAATGGTGCAAACGGCAATTTTAATTGTTCGTTCTATCATCAAAGCAAACAACATCTCCAAATTGCAAGTAAGAAGTCCTCGACCTACCATCCACCCAAAAAACACTTCTCATCTTCCCATCATTTTCTAAATCAAGTGCGAAGTAAAATTGAGGATCAAATACATTTTTCTCTTGAAATTGACGAACTATGCTCACGCACTCATGACCGACATTATTTTTTCATTTAATTCTAAGTTGTGCTTAGCATTCTTGTTGAGTGAGAGAGCCTTGCTCATTTCCATGAGCAACGTCTATAACCTTACAAATGGTAGAAGGCCGTAAACCTTGATTGTCAAGAGTATCTATCAACCTTCTTGTCGATTGAGCTCGATGAAGTGTCCGATGTGAGTAGTGCTTCTTTACCCGATTTGGGGTGGTTAATGGATGGCCATTATGATTAATGTTTAACTTTCGGACCACCCATTTTTCAGTGCTTCTATCAAGTCCAATAACCATCCTTGCGTTGCATCCACATCTTGTATCGAACTTTCGACTACATTCCGACCATTTTCTCTTTTATCTTTTAAAAATTTAAATCCTTCCTTGTCACATACATATATTCTAGATATGATTGCATCTTTCTTTCTCGACCAAGTTGTGTGACCCTTGCGAACACCAAGTCCCTTAAGTCTAGCGTATGCATTGTAGAAATTATAAGCTTCCTCATGAGTAGAAAACTCCATTCCAATATATGGATCAACAACAAAATTACCTTCACCATTTTCAACACCAATAGGCTCATCAACATTCTGCTCATGCTCAGATGCCTGTAAAAATATAGAAAAAAATTTATAAAAGTCAATATAAAAGACAACTATTTTGGTATATTTTATTAGATAGTAGTACACAATAAACAATAAGATATTATCACCTGAGAGAAAAAACTTGTCGTAGATAGTAAACCATGGTCCTCGCCTTCAAGGTCAAGGGCTATATATTTGTTTTCATCTTCAACCATTGTTGTATCACGTGAGAGAATTGTTGGCGTGTCCATACAAGCTATCAAATTATCACATATAAGAAGTTCAAAATCTATAGAAAATCGTCCTGAAGTTCATCTTTCAATTTCACTAAACAATCTCATTACGATAATTTAAACAATTTTGAAAGCTCATATCCAATTTAACATTAAACCTATCCTAAAATTTAAACTAAAATATGATAATATTCATAATTCATATTCCAAAATGAACCAGATTTACAAGTTAAAACCTCCAACAAACAAGTTAATTCATAACCTAAACTTAGATCAAAAAGCAATGTTGCTCGTGAACTACCAAATGCCATCACGTTCCCATTAGAATTCCAAGCATCTACTCTAAAATTGATACAATCAAATACAAAAACTAAAAAGAAAAGCTGATGAAAAAAAAACCTAACATACAAAAAAAAAAACGCACCTGAGATGATTTTTTTGGGCGGACGTCGAACGGAGGTCGAGCGGAGGTCGGACGTCGAGCGGACGTCGACGTCGAGCGGACGTCGACGTCGAGCGGAGGTCGAGCGGGGATCAATGGCGGAGATCAATGGCGGAGGTCGGACGTCGAGGGAAGGTCGAGCGGAGGAAGAGACAACGAAATTTCTGCGGATTGGTTTTTTTTTTTGGGAATTTGCTAAACGCGGTCATCATTAGGGTATATTTTTGGTAATTTGTTTTTTCTTTTTTTGGGAATTGTTTTAAATCAATGGTTGAGATGATTTTGGGGTTTTTGAGATCAATGACTGAGATTGCGCATCCTTAGGCTACACCTAGGGAGTCACCTTAGATCCACTCATTCAAATGTGAGAACAAATTCACATGGGTAGTGAGTGGATGGGGATGTGACACATCACTACCAAGCACAAAATTTGTACTTGGTACCAAACATACCCATATTTCTCATATATATATATATATATAATGCATTAATCACATATCAATTTTCTCCTTTATTTGGTTAAGGAGAATAATCAATTGTATAACTCTAATTAATTATACTATTTTTATCATCCAGTATCTAGCTAAGGAATTGTACATCGAACAGTTTCTATAATATAGCTGACATGTACTTAATTTTTTAATAATTTATATATAACAACACACTAACTGTATATATAATGTTAACGACGTCATAAATTATAACAAATTTTTATTTCGTACAAGTGATTAAATCTCCTTTCTTGTAAATGTGAAGAAAAAAGAAGCTCGAGATGGTTAAATTTATTTATTTATTTGTTTATACTCCCAAACTTTTCACATATTGGATGATTTCAGAGCTTCTATAGTGGAATTGAACATAATATTTGACGCATGCGGTATTATTCTTCGGATGCACACTTTTGTGGGCATGCACTTTCAACAACACAAATTAACATTAAAAACGATTTACCTTCACAGTTTTATTTGAACCTTTCCGAGTTACTAAATGCACCTTTTGAGGATCACGTTGCGCATATGAGGTCAAAATTTCTAGCCCTGTCAATGTTCTTTAGAGACAGTTAAATAGTTAGGAAAATAATATTTTCGCATTTTATTTATAAAAATATTAAAAACTGAGATAAGCATTGATCAGTGCACTATCCGATACCAAAATTGCCCTCACCTATGAACAGTACTCTATAAAAGGCTGGTATAGGCTCATGGTAGTTCAACCCTAACAAAGGAGCGAGGGGGAGGAAGCAGTAATGGCTTCCAAGTCTTTCATTCTTCTTCTTCTTGCTCTTTTATTTGTAACGTGTGGCTGTGGAACTGCGGAGCCACAAGTTCCGGCCATATACGTGTTCGGCGACTCAACGATGGACGTTGGCAACAATAATTATCTGGGGACGGACGCCGTCAAGGCCAACTTTCCTCACAATGGCATTGACTACCCCCATTCAAAACCTACCGGGAGATTCAGTAATGCCTACAACGGCGCTGACTTTGTTGGTGAGTGTCGTTTGTTAGCATGTTATAATGCTCGAATTTTATTTATGACTTCGAAGTTTTCAGGCTACGAAAGAGACTTTCATATGATATGAGAACTATCCAGATTAATTCAAAACTTATTGGACAACAACAGGTTGAAAAAGGTATTCCTATGTTAATTCAAATCTCATTGGCCAACAAAGGGTTGAAAAATGTATTCGTATATATGTAAGACACTGCAGATTTCGGCCAACAGATAGGACGTTCAATCTGTATAAACATGTTATAGTACCGTAACCCTAGATTTGAGACTTTATTAATTTGCATAATTAGTGAGTATTACAAAATGAAGAAAAAAAAAACTGAACTGAATTTAGGTCTGATATATGGATGATAAACCCAGTAGCTCGGTAATAAAATTTGCTTCCTGAGGCAACATCCACAATAAGAATCATGCAAGAAAATTAATATGCATATGATTTACACATAAGAATTGTGTATATTTAATTTATGTAGAAACTTATTTACAGAATTATTTCCTACCTTTTTCTGAGATAAATGATGCTATGCAATTCTCTCGCATCATTAAGAAATTTTAATGACAACAAAACCACATAAATAATATGTAGTGTCAGTAATATGTAATGTAGTAATATTTTTCAATTTTGTTTATTAATGTGGACAGCCATGAACATGGGTTTCAAACAGAGCCCACCACCTTTTCTAGCCCTGAAGCCCAAACACAAGTACCCCGATATATACAGTGGTAGAGTTGGCGCCAACTTCGCTTCTGCAGGGACAGGAATCCTCGACTCAACGGTTAACCACTCTCCACGTCAATTTTAGTTCTATTCCGATTTTTTTTTAATATTTAGTCCCATAAATCTTTAATATCTTAAGTTTCTATTTCAAATAATTAAAAATGCTATTAAGTCCCCGAATTCTTAAGAGAACATTGGGTGTCATATTGTCCAATTTATTCTCTCATATACACATCAGTCTTTTCTTATAAATTGTTCCAAAACCATCTCTATAATTATTGAAAATTTGCTACTATATCACCCATTCTTATAAGTTGTTTTAAATTGCTCACCTTTCCAATATTAAATATAGAGTTGGGGACCGTACAGTAATTTAAATGATTTGAGTGATTAATATAAAAAATATTAAAGATTTAAGGGACTAATATCCAAGAAAAAAAAAATGTTTACTTTTACTGATGCACGAATATACCTTCTGCTGCAAATTCCTTTTCAAAAATTTTACAGGGGAATACAATCAATATGGCAAAACAAATTGAATATTTCGGGTCATTTCAGCTCTGTGTAATACGAAGAATCAAGATTGAGCGAGCGAAGTATTTGCTCTCGAAATCAATCTTTCTCATTAGTGCTGGGGGGAACGATATATTTGATTTCTTCGTGCAAAACCCAAACGCAACTAAGCCTCAAGTAAATCAGTTCCTCGGCGGCATGATATCCAACTACACATCCCATTTCGAGGTAATTAACTTGTTTCCACGAGTAAAAAATTGATTGATTTACCCTCTTCATCTATATTATGTTTTTAAATAAACATTCTCATCCCTCCCTTACGAAGTTCAACCAGATTAAGTTGTAACTGTTAACTTTTTTGTGGCGTTATAATTCAGACGTCTGGACGTACATTCACATGGAGAATTTTAGGCTTTCTGTATTACCCAAAAACTTCTTTTTGCTCTGATTTCTTCATTTCAATTGTAATGATCTCTGAATTTTGAAGGGCAAATGCCTAATCAAGTTCAAACACCTAAAGGAAAAAAAAAATTATAACCATAACTCTCATTACAACTTTAAAGTTTTAGAACCTGGATTTAAATCCCATTGTGAACAAAAAAGACACCTTTGCATGGATCCAAGTTTCAGACCATTAAATTAAACTGTGGTCAACTTAGTCAGATATGTTAGAGTATACAATTTTGGTAATAGGCAGGCCTTTGAAGAGTCTGCAGAAATATTGTTTGAATAATAAAGCTCCATAATTAAATTAAAGATTTCATTAGCAATCATATATAGGTGGCATATCTTTTGTTGAACTTTACAGATAAGAGTTTTTTATTTTTATTTATTTATTTATTTGTTGAGAAAAAGATAAGACTAGATTTTTTTGAAACAAAGTATAGATGAAAAGGAATTGTTATAATACACCCTTTACAATTATACAATAATGAGCAAACTATGGTAATGAAATATGCAGGCATTATACAATCTTGGAGCAAGAAAATTTGCAATAATCAATGTTCCTCCTATTGGATGTTGCCCACGCTCAAGAACACTTCCGCAAAATCTGGATGGCTCATGTGTTGAAGCATTGAATAATTTGGCCAAGGCTTTTAACAAGGCAACTCCAGCCATCCTCAATAATCTCAGCTCCAAATTAGTTGGACTGAAGTACTCTATTGGGAGTTCTTATGATGTGGTGAATACCATAATTACACACCCACAAGCATTTGGTATGTTTGTGGCATATATAATTCAATTCAATAATCTTTTCTCAAGGGTTGAATTTTATTTCTACTGGTGTTTTTGTCGCATGAGACCCTAAATTCTATTTTAATTATATATCAGGACCCAAATCTTCTAGTTGTAGTTTTTTTGCAGAAACCACCTTTAAAATTTTGTGACAATACGAAAACATTCTTCATAGTTTAAGTAATACAAAAGCCGCAATCAATTTGGGTTTTCGTAGCAATCAACCACCTAGACATATTTCCTAGTGAAATTTCGATAGAAATCCGTAATCCATTGAAAAACAAGTGTCCGACCTTCGAAATCCCTTGAAAAACACGCGTCCGACCTTTGAAAAACTAAGACATGTCACGTTCCTAGCATGCGTGTTTTTCAAGGGTGTTTTGCGGATTTCAATCAAAATGTCACTGAAAAATTAGAAATGCGGTTGATTACTATTGTAAGCCCCACTATAAGCTAGCGTTTTTTTTTTGGTAATTAAATTTAAATATGGTTTTTGTACTTTCACCTTATTTAACTTAACGGTGTTTTTTAATTCTTTTTTAAACAAAACTCCCAAATCTATTAAGTAATGTTTGACCCTAAGCCCTTTCTTAGTTTTATATATTAGATCTCAATTCTTCATATTTCTAATTCTCTA